CACTTGCCCCCTCTTCTTCTTCCTCTTCCGGGGATGATGAGCACGATAAAATATAGCCTACTCTACTCTACTAACGAGAGCTAGTAGCACGTTTACTATCATGTTTGCATGATTCGAAACGCGCTAGAGTCTAGGGGTGGAGACGCTTCTGCATAAAACAAGTTAGTGTGTCACGCGAAAAGACAGAGTGCAATATCAAGCTGTTCATTTAGTCTTAGATCACGTTGGTCTAGCTGTCTAAATCTTAACCGGCAGAGACATTCATCTTCGTTAGGAGAGCCTGAAGATCCTGACCAACTAGACTGTCGTAACTTCTCATCCCAGATGTAACACCGCTATCTTTTGAAAATGAGCAGAATCACAATCATTTATAATGCACGAGAGGTTACAGCCCAATGAGAATCCTACTGTGAAGTAGCAAGCACGAGGGGTTCCCTGGCCGGCCAATCACCAATGCGACTGTCATAAATAATTAACTTACAGTAGTGTTAGAATGACCTCGACTAATAAACGCATCTTCCGTAACTTCAAGAATTCTGTGGTTTCATTAGAATCTTGTATTCAACAAAGGGACTATAAAAATACGAAACTTGTTTCTTCTCAGAGGGGAAGGTCAGGGTCTACGGATAGTAGAAATATATGGACCAATGTTGTTTGGACCTTTGTACACGGTCGGTTTGTGAAGTCCGTTCGACGATAACCTACAAATATTCAAAAACGAAAGCGTGCAGGAGAAGTCTCAGCTGGAAATCTCATGTCTAATGTGCAATGCGTAAATAATGACGACATCCAATAATTTGTGCAAACATTCTTATCGGAAGTCGTTCGCGAAAGAAAATCCGTACTAGACTGCAACCCGTACAGGAAAATAACACTTCCATAAGTACTAAGTCACTTCCACCAACTGTAGCCCAATAAAATCATGATGAGCTTAAGGTCACTACAAGCATGATAAATGCAAGAAGTACAGTTCAATTATGATCGAACCGTGTTAGGCAGGGGCCTGTTGTGATGTCGAACTTCGACATCGACACACTCGACTTTATGTCAGTTGATGGCCGGGGACTAATAAAGTTTGCTGAGTATTTAATGGTTTTGCGATCGAACGCCAACGTTCACGCCTGTAAGTGCTTATGGACCCGACGCGATATTTCTATCTCAACAAAGATCCGCGTGTACCGTGCATCTGTGCGGTTCGTTCTCCATACGGATGTGAATGCTGGGCTATGCGCGTGGAAGATGAACGGAAGCTGGAAGTCTTTGACCACTAGTACCTGAGTAACATTCTTCCAGTGAAGTACACCGACTTCGTCTCAAATGAGACAGTCCGCACTCGCT